CCCCTCCCCGATGCGGGCGCCCGTGGCGCTCCCACAGAGGCCCGGTCAGACAGGGCGCTACTTACTGTATCCGCCCAGGCCGTCGGGAGTGCCATATCCACCACTGTAATTGCTGCCCATTCCCATCCTACCCACGGAGCCGTAGCCTTGATCTGAAAAGCAGAAAGGGCCTGGTTAGGACCTGGGGAGCGGTGAGCCGCGGCCGGGCGGCAGCGGGGCGCGGGGCGGGCGCGTACCCATGCCGTCTCTGCCGTAGCCTCCCATCCCGGAGCCACCTCCAGCAGTCGAGTTCAGGAACAGCTCGATATATCGATGCTCTGCAGGGAACAAAAGCGATGGACTTTGTACTCTGACTCAGAAACCAGCAGCGCAGAGATAACACCCCCCAACCTTACGAGTACGAGTAGCGGTTACAAGCCCCCCGAAAGCCAGTTTGAAATGTGGTAACTGGCAAAAAGTCTCGATCTGTGTATTCACTGCACAGCACCCTGGGTGAAGCGCAGCTTAAGGCCACCTACTCCATTTGCCCTTCGAGCCCGCGCTGAAGCCTGGCCCAGGACAGCTCCACGTGAACCCGATACTCACGCATGTGGTTTTTATCCTTAGACATGGCAGCTACTGCATCCTCGTGTGTTACAAATTCCACATCTGCCTCTCCCGTGGCTCTTCCGTCTGCCCCAATATCAATGTGAACTCTTATAGGATTCAATGGTGAAAAAAACTAAGAAGAAAAACAAACAGAAATCATCACATTAATGCAGAATTCAAGCCAGGTACTTTTTTTTAATCCCAGTGCGTAGTGGAGCACTGCAGCAATTTCATCTCATCCTACCATGTACATTTAACTACTAATTTCCAAAGTATTACTTAGTGACAGTGGACCTTCAACATTAGACTAATCTACACTCACAATCTATTATTATTACACAACTCCAAGAGCTCCAGCTCCAGAGCTTGAGGAGCTTTCTTTAAAAGCAGAGATGCAAACACAAGTTCCTGTCTGCACATGCTGCTTTAATCAAGAAGTTCTAGTATGATGCCATCCTGGAAGAGGAAAATAATTTGTTTTTGAAGAACCAGAGCCCAATAAGTGTCTCAAAGCAAGGACATCTTTATGGAATTCAAACCCAGCTGACTGTCAGCCAGACTGCTTTTGCTCGCTCCAGAACTCGAGGAGATATGGTGGGAGTTCTGAACAACAGCCTCAATCCCAAAGAGCACCTACAAACAAACCCGTGGTATGCAACTCAAGTGCTACTCATCACCTTGCAGTAACATGCTCTGATCAAAGCTCTTGCTCTGAGAGTCTTTAGACTGACAGAACAAAATATAGCTCAATTGAAAAAAAAGCAGCAAGAAAAAAAAAAAAAAAGCCCAAGAAAGAAAAGCACAATCTTAAGAATGGAGTTCTGCATACATAATAGGTAGGTGCAACTAACAAAGACACAGCCCACTGTAGAGAGGGGCTGTGTTTAAACCAGGCCTTTTATCCCAGAAAACTTCTTCCCCTACACAGGCCACAGAGAAATGCATTCCCAAAATTGTGCTGACGTGCTTTTATCTGCCACCCTCGACTCTTACAAGTAACAGGATACTGTCCCCTCCAACCAAACACAGCTCCCTACAGCCTGCCCATCCTGTCCCTCCTAAAGTCAGTCTGAAGTCACACACATACACAAACTACAATCAAAATTTCACATCTGCTATCGCTCTTCTACAGAGCTGTAAGTCTCCAGTTAAAACTTCTGAAAGCCTTAAAACAAGGATAGCAACTGCAACAACCATCCTCTCCCAATACACCTTTTATGGAAATGAAAATGCAGAGTACAGAGATGAATGTTAAGTATAGTTTGGCTGACCTCTCCAGTAACCTTACCTCAGGCGTTACCTTTCTAGAAGCTGATTCACTATTAAGCTTTGTAGAACTCACACAGCAAGCCCTGACTTTAGTTAGCAGATATATCAGAGCTATTGATCGCTCATCTGAGAACTTTAACCAAGTTTGGAACAAGAAAGACAAGAACATGCGAGCTCTTGGCACCAGAAAGCCCCTTTCCCCATCGTACTTACATTAGCAATATCGTTTTCCGTCGCTCGAAAAGGCAGTCCTCTCATGTGAACAAAATGACCACCACCATGGAAACCCGACCCTGCTTCTCCAGCTCCACCATAGCCATGTCCTCCCATGCCTATTAAGAAACCCAAACCAAACAAAACCACACACCTGTAAAATCATCATGAAAACCCAGAAAAGTCCTCACTACTGGTTTTGGGTAAGCACTCACTTTCTGCCCCTGAATGCAAGATGTTTACACTTCCTGCTTATCTGCCCAGATACCTAACCAGAAGACAGCCTAAGCAACATGTTTTCCTGAAATTCCCGAATTCCTCCCCTTTTTAAACAACCTCCTTTCTTTACAGTGTAGTCTAATGAAGAAAGCTATTATTTCTGTCTTGTAATTCATAGTATTTCCAACTTAAATAATCCAAAAATCTTTTTAAACAATTATAAAAGACTTTTTGTTACCTCTCCCATCCCTCATTCTGTCATCGTAGCCGTCGTTTCCATAGCCATAATTATTATAGCCACCATAATCATCAAAGCCACCATACCCTGTGTGCAATGGAGAGAAAGAAAGGAATTATTACATTATTACTGAAATTTCACTAAGCAATGCACAAGAGTAAATTTTTCAGTCTTTGGGCACCCAGAAGTTTGCAAACAGTCTCTACAGACTGTTAAACCTGGATTTCTGAACTGAGTGCAAATGTGAAATTCCTTTTATACAGTAAGAAGACTGAAACATGCAAGCGAGACGTCAAATTCTGCTGAAAATAGTTCCCTTATAATTTCCATTACTCTTAAATACTAAGCCACATTTTTTGGATACATGACAAGAATTTCTTTGAGAGAAGCGTGTCAAACCTAAGGGGCACTGCAGCTACCACCATTTCTTTAGTTCTTGACAAAGATGTCAGAAACACAAACTGACAACAGAACCTCCAGCCATTAGATAAACATACCACCGTCATATCCACCACCTCCTCGACGCATTCTGTCATACATACTTCCACGCCCAGCTCCATAATAACCCCCTCTTCCTCCTAATGGTCTATCATATGGTCCAGGTCGTTGTTGTCCCATCATTCTTCTTGGCATGTCACAGAATCCTCTGATTTCGCTCTTACTACTTTTGAAGATTTCAATATATCTAATAAAAGAGGATTTTCAAGGTACCAATAAGAATACACGCACAAGCTCTCTGAATATTATAAAAGGCCATACTATGTTTTCTATAACTAAACATACAATCCAATACAAGTGACTAGGGATACCATACAACTTAAGTTTCTCCTCAAAACCGTAAGAATCTTAAGTGTATAAAAAAAACACTTTACAGTGGCCAAAATTACTACGTGAAAATTCTAGCTGTACAAATTAAGCATAAAACATGTCTTTCCAGTATGAGAAACATACTGTTGAAAAACAACGTCTAGCTATAGTAGCATTTATCAAATTACCCTACACAAGTACGATTGAAACAATTTTCTCAGTTTAGCAAACTACCCAGAGCAATACTGTCTCCCCCACCCCCCAATCTACCATTTTTCCCAAGTTAACTTAGGATCAGTTATAAAAATTCTTAAAAACAGCCAGTTCCATATAATGGTCCCCAACCCCCCCAAAAGCATTACTGACCCACAACCCCCAAAAATAAAGATTTAACACCATCCCAAACTCTCCATCCCCACCTGTGCCCTATTCTTTCCTTGTGTTTCCCCAGAGCATTTTCTGCTATCTCCTTTGAAGCAAACTGCACGAAGGCCTCCCCTGTGCTTCTCCCCTGGTAGTCCAGCGTCAATGTTATCCCATTTGGCACGATTTCCAACCCTTTAACCCAAGGACAAATAACCCCATCAAGGGGAACAGTGTTAAAGGCTGAAACATTCCCATCTGTAGCAAATACTTAAAGCATATCTAAACAACAACAACGAAAAAGAAAACCACCTTGTTTCCCCCATCACCCAACAATGCAAGCCAATGATCTTTCATTAAACATATATGGATTTAGCCATACTTCTTTTCTGTTTAAACTATGTAAAAATGCAGCTACCTATGTTACATGAAGAAAATACAGCTACCAATCAAGTAATTTAACTGATCCAAATGCTAACATTCGGGTTACCCCAATATGCATATGTTTACCACCTTGACAGAATTAGATACATACTGTGTTTTACTACATCTATGGTTATTTCTACTTCATTTACAGGGCATAATTCTTACTTAAGGCAAACTAATTTAACACAATCCCTCCCCTCCACCCCATTAACAGCTATCACAAATTAAAATGCACAAAACATTGTGTAAGAGACAAGAAAACTCAGTCACTATACTTCGACTATACTAGAGGTACCTTGGAAAAACTGAACAATCTCTTCTTTGCTGCAACCAAAGGGCAGGCCTCGAAGTCGTACCACTGTTCCATCATTAGTTGTATCATTTGGCCCGTTATGTTTTCCACTCCAGTCCATCTTTTATTTGAATCAAACCCTACAAAAAAAGAAGGAAAAATGTTGACATTCCAGAGATGCCTAAGTCCCTCCTCTCAAAAGAAATCTGGCAGGTTTTTCTTCGGCTAACTAGTAGCATGGATAACGAACTTTAATTCTGTTACACACTTAAAATGGTGCTTATCACATCCAGAGCTCACGTTCATCTAAAAGCGCTCAAACTCTGACAGGGCACACAGTGTGTAGGGAGGGAGGGCTGCACGTGGGTAGGCACCGCACATAAAGCTCATTATTTACTCGGAATACACGGAACATCTGTCCCATAACATTTTGAGTTGGGTTTTTTTTTGTTATTTCAGGGTGGGTTTTTTTTTTTTTTTCAGCGTGACAGTTGAAGAAGGGATAGGAACCACGCAAAGCTTCCTGCGTGGAAACACAAGGCCTTCCTTTGTCTGCAAACAAAGCGCCACGGGCCGCGCTCCCCGTCGATTTTCGTTGCGTTTTCCCTCCGCACCCCCTTCCGGGAGCGCCGACGAAGCGTTACCCGCACCAGGAGGGACCCGGCCGAGGGGAGGGCGCCGCGCACCGGCACCCCGGCGGGGCAGGGC